GGCCCCCGGGAGATGGAGAAAATGAGCATGGGTTTTGGAGTGTGCTTCCATCCCTGGGAGCCTAGCGTTTCTGATCCTCAAAATAGGGGACTGGACGGCCGGGGAGGGATTAAATAAAGCAATGTAAGCAAAATGCCTGTTCATAATTTGCGCTCCAAAGCTGTCAGTCTCTAGGGCGTGGAGGAGGGAGGCCAGGACCCCCAGCAGGCTTCTGGGCTGGGTGCGCGGGGGAGCCACTAGGGGGCGCCCTGGATCCACGTTTGGTGCAGACCTGGCCTCCCCCACTACTTCGTGCCGGGCCTGCGCTCTCCCGGACCCCAGACGGCGCTGGGCTCCTGCTCAGGACTCCTCCTTCCGGAGCGCCTCCTCGATTGCCTGGGCATCCCCCGTGTGTGCAGGGGCAGAATGACGCGGTGAGACCTCGGGCAGGGGAGCGCGCCTGCGGGCTCCGGGAGGGAGCTGGGGTGGGCGGCAGGGGCTGCTGCGGGGCTTTAAGCCAGCGCGCTCGTCTGAGTGGCTGCGGGCGGGGGCGGGGGCGGGGCCCTGAACCCCGAGCCGCCGGCGCGCGGTTATAAGGTCTGTGGGGCATGGGGAAGTGTTCTAGACCGCGGCGTCCAGTGGAGCTGCTTTCTGCGGCAGGAGGGACTCGTTAGACCTCAGGAAGACTCTCCTCCTAGGCAGAGGGTCCGTGATAGGGGCTGGGGGTCTTCAGAAAACGAGTCTTCCGGACGGGGGGTTGGGAGGACCCGGACAGGCTGGCCCCAGCCCAGGGTCTGGATTTGGGTCCCATGAGGAGCCTACGTTAGCCTGTTCACGTTCCTGGTCTGCGGCAGGTGCTCAGAATTGACCCGTCCACTCGGGTCGCCAGGGCTGGGATTCCGGCGAGAAGGAGGCCAGCTTCCTCATCCTGGGGAGGGGGGCACAGCCTGGCCCCCTGGGTTCCCAGAGGGTGTGGGTGCTTGCTCCGGCTTTTCAGGTTCTTCTCCTCCGGGCCCATTTTCTTCATTTGCATGACAAACTCAGGGAGGCTGGAAAGAGCCCCCAAGCGCCCCCTTACCTGCGCGGGGCCAAGCAGTGCTGGGCTGGCTCTCTCAGAAACTGCTGAATCAGGGCGGAAAGGAGAGCCATGAACCCGAAGGGTCTGCTGGGGAGGCCCAGGACAGCAGGGCCACTGGCCACTGATCACCCTGTCTCTGGGCTGACCTAGGTAGGTGATGCTCACGCCCCCGTTGTAGGTCACGGGGTCCCGTCCCCGTCACTGCCGTGCACCCACAGCCTCACTGTGACGAGGGAACGCCCCGCTCCAGGTCACAGAATGCTGTCTTGGTCATGGGGCCAGCATGTGGAGATGGGCCATGGGAGGCTAGAGCTGGGGGGCAGCACTCCCCACCCCAACGCACACGCACACGGCTGGTCTGTTCCGGGGGTGGGGGGGCCTGGGGGCAGGCCCACTGGACTCTGCCGCCCGGCCCTGCTTGGCCTCCCAGGCTCTGGCCTGGACCCTTCCCATTTAAGCGCTTGGCTTATCTGCCTTTTCTGCTGAGCTCAGAGCTGGGCTCCAGGGGTGAGGGGCAACTTGGGGGAATCACTCGAGTCAGGGGTGTCTCAGGCCTTCTGCTCTCAATGGAAAAATTCTGCTTTCTTTGGCCGTCCCCACTTCCCCTCTGTCCCCTGGTCTGCCCTTCTTCCCTCCCATCCCTGCTCCTCACTGTCCAGCCTCACTCCTTTCCGGGCTCCTGCACTGCCCCCTCCCCGGCACCCTCAGCCCCGCCTTCCATCGCCAGTGCCCCCGCCGGCCCTTACCACCCCTGTCTCTCCCTGCCATCCCAGACCCGTCTCTCGTCTAGTCTCTCGCTACTGCCTCCTAGTCCCGCCCATCCTAGGGGGTGGGGGGTGCTCGGTGAGAATGTTGGGGCCAGACGTTGGGCCTCTACGACCCCCACGAGCTCCTTGAAGATCAAAGTGCGTATTCCTCTGAGAACTTCTCCCAGCGCCCCCTGTGGGCCCGTCGCTGGCCTGCCTGGCTGGTGCCATGGGAACCTCCCAGGGCCACCCCGATGCAGGGATGTCCCCCCATCTGGGCTTGTTCTGGACAACAGGTGTTCCTGGTCCCTTCACGCGTCACAGGCTCACAGCGGGTCAGGTAGGGACCCTGCAGGGTGGGGGTTGGGCTGCGTGGCCCTAAACCCAGACAACAGGTCCCTCCCTCCCCCCCTCCCACTTGACCACTCAGCTGTCTGAGCCACAGAAGCCCCTTGTCACCCACTCTTACGGAGTTGTCTGAGTTCTCCACCCCTCACCTCGTGGAAGGTTGGGGCCCTTCTCCTTGGTAAGCTTTGGCTTCCAGAAGAGGCCCTGCCCCATTCACCCGCCAGTTCTTTCTTCTGGGCCACATGGAGGCCCAGCCCAGGTCTCTCCTACCTAGACCTTTGGTCTGAGCAGGCTCTGAGGTCAGAAAACCCAGTCTCAGGCCCCACCACTGCCCACCTGTGGGCCTCAGGCGAGGTGCTCCTCCTTGCTTTTGGGCTCAGCTTTCCCATCAGTAAAGTGGAGACTGTAAGCAACCCCCCAGAGGTTGTCGTGAGGGTGAAATCAGTCACTGTAGGACAAATGGAAAAGCTGTACAAACAGTAGTTGTCACAAAGAGTAGTTTTCTTAGTTTACCTAAGCTCTAAGGGGGGAGCTGGGGCCTCTGTGAGCCTCGGATGCAGGAGGAGAGGGTGCTGGTTCCCAAACCATGTGTTAGGGGCTGGCAGGGGAAGGAGCTAACTTGCATTTAAATCTGGGCTGGGTGCCGTGCAGACCGCAGTCCTTGCCCCTGAGGCTGCCTGGATTGGTCTAACAAGCAGAATTTTACCAGTCCTTTCTCAATGGTGCCAGGGAGGACACAGCCTGGCGGGTCAAGAGGAACTGTGAAGGATAATAGGATTTGTGACGGGAGGGTCTTCAGCCTGGGCAGAGGTGACGCTTGAGGGAGGGGAATAGCCCTGCGGCCATGGCCAGGCCAGATGGTTAAGGGGACGGTTCAGGATTCTCCCACAGCCCACCTGCAAGGCTCCGGAGGAGCTTTGCAGGGGGCAAGGGGGAGGGTGCCATCAAGGGCATTGGGGGCAGGGCACCTGTATGAAGGAAGGTGCACACAGGTGCTGTGTCGTTGGCAGCCCGGAGGAAGGGACCAGCTGTGAAACTGGGGTAGTTAGTAGGTGTTGGCCAACAGCCCAGGGGAGGGGTACCGCGGGCCTGACTTGGAGCATGCGTTAGAGTGGCCCAGCCTCGGATGGGCCTAGGCCGGGGGTCGGGGGGTCAAAAACTCCTGCTTCCCAGCCCTGGGACAGGTGGGTGACCACGTCCCCCTGCAGTGCCTCGAAAGGAAGATCTGGTGTCGCAGGGCTGGGGTGGAGAGGGGGACGCAGCTGGGCTGGACTTTGCAGGATATGGGAGAGGGAGAGAGCCAGCCTCCCAGTAGCTCACCCACTACTCCAGACACGTGTGTGTCCCCTCTCCCCATTCCCTCCAAGGCAGGGCCCCTCCGGAGAGGTTCTGACCACCGCTGACACTTAATCTTACTGAGCCTGAGGGGAGCGACCTGTCCACTGAAGTTGTCGCTGAGACCCTGTCCACAGTCAGAGGGACGCCCATCAGCAGGAACCAAAGGCAGGTGCTGTGGAGAGAAAGCATCAGCCCCCTTTGGGAGGCCCGGCACCTGTGGGCCCCATAGACCTGCCATGCTTGCTGATCTAGAAGGCAGCTCGGGCCCTCGCCGAGGCAGCCCATGGGAGAAACCGTGGCATGAGGCCTGCCTCTCTCATCCAGGTGGGCCAAAAACTGTCCAGGGTTCTTCTGTCCTGCTGAGAAGTAGGCCTTCGAGAAGGTAAGACCATCAGTAACCGTTCACAGATGAGGAGACCGGGAGAGGAGATGGCTTGCCTGAGGGACCTGTCATAGCTGGACTGGGACAGGGAGGAAGACTGACCCCAGGCAGGCCCAGGACACCAGTGGGCTCTTGAAATGTCAGTAGTGCTATTCTCCCCACTCCTCCCAGGCTGCCCTGGCTTGGAAGCGACTGAGCTCCCACCTGTGTGTCTCCATCAGGGCCGCGCCCTCCCCCTCCCCAGGCTCTTCCTCAGTGGCCACCTGCTGCCACCAGGAGGCCCCGCTTGTGGGCAGGGGAAGCCTAGTCCTAGGAGAGCCCTTCATGGGCATCACGCCCACCTCTTTTGTTCAGAGGTGAGTGAGAACTGAGGCCCAGAGAGGGAAGTGACTTGCCCGAGGTCACAATGCTTGCTAGGGGCAGGGTGGGGACCAGAGCCCTTGGCTGCTGACCCCGAGTCCCCTCCCTGTTCTTTCTCCCTTCCCCCCTGTCTCCACATTTTCAAGCTTGGAACTCAGGCTCTCAGGTGAGCTCTGGAGGAGCTGGTTCTTCCTCGTGGGGCTCTTGAACTTTGACCTCACTCATGGCTCCTTGTGCAGAGACATCTGGCCACACGGAGGGGCAGCGGCTGGACAGACAGGAGGCTGGACCTGCAGGGGGCTGGGCTGGGAGGGAGGGGCCCTTGGGAGCTGCCCCTGGGACCTGAGCAACTGGGTTTGGGGTTATGAGGGCTCAGCCTTGAGGATGCCCACAAGGGGCCCTTCTGGCTTCCAGACTGGCCCCAAAGAGCCACCCCCCTCTGCTTATTTGTGTCCATAGGGTGTGCACCCAGCAGGTCACCGCTGTGCTTGGGAAGCGAGAGTGCGGTGCTAGGGAGAAGCACAGGGAAGCAGCTCCGGGCAGCCTGTCGAGGCTGGGAAAGCGGTCTTGCTGCAGCCAGGCAGACCCAGCTGCTCCGCTCCCAGTTCCTGACTCTGAGGCGTCTGTCCGCCTCCTTTAATACAATAAAACCAATCCCTGTCAGTAAAACACCACGGAGTGAAATCAATAAATTACTCTTCCAGTGGCAGGTGGATGTGGGTCAGTTCCCCAGCTCCAAATCAGCGCACAATCATCAACACAACAAAAATAGTTCTCTAAAGCATGAATCTTTATTTAAAAAAATCTGGTTCGGGGCGCCTGGGTGGCTCAGTTGGTGAAGCGTCTGCCTTCGGCTCCGGTCACGATCCCAGGACCCTGGGATCCAGTCAGGCTCTGCGGAGAGCCTGCTCCTCCCTCTGCCTGCTGCTCCCCTGCCTGCTGCGCTCTCTCCCTGTCAAATAAATAAACAAAATCTAAAAAAAAGAAAAAAAGAAAAGGTCCGCCTTTTTAGGGAGGGGTTACTGCCAGGGGTACTTGTGTTCCTGAGTCCTGGGGCCACTTCTCTGTGGTGCGAGGTGGGCACTGGCTGCAAGCCTCGTCTTCTGGAATCCCTGAGGCAGCTCCCCGAGGCAGCTCCCCGAGGCAGCAACGCGGTCTGGAATCCCCGAGGCAGCGCGGTCTGGCGTCTCCCAAGAACTCCCGCCATGCCTTCCCGGCTCATCTGTGCTTCTGCCAGACAGTCCTGGCCCTCCCCTCTTTGCCGTCTCACCCTCAGCAGCATCCCAGCCTGCAGACCAGGCCTTGTACCCTAGAAGGAGGGCCTCACGTTTGTGCAGACCCATACAGCTTGCAGAGGCTTTTCACGCATACTAACTTATTTGAGTTCTTTTGGTGGTGGCAGGATGAGCAGATGTTGTCGAGCAGAGTTTCTTTTCTTTTCGATTTTTAAAAATTTATTTATTTGACAGACAGTGACACAGCGAGAGGGAACACAAGCAGGGGGAGTGGGAGGGGGAGAAGCAGGCTTCCCGGCGAGGAGGGAGCCCGATGCGGGGCTGGACCCCAGGACCCTGGGATCATGACCTGAGCCGAAGGCAAACGCTTAATGACTCAGCCACCCAGGCGACCCGAGCACAGAGTTTCAAGGGCTAGCAGTGTCCCTGCGAGGGAAGCACGGCTCTGGGGAGTAGACCAGCGAGTGGCCTTGGAGAGCAGGGCGGCTGAATGGGTGACCCTGCAGGCTGAATGGCTTCAGGTGGCGACAAGGCCCAGGGTGTCCCTTGGGAGCTGGTGTCTGCGGAGGAGGAGGAACCCTCCGGCCACCTGAGATCAGGGGTCACCATGCAGGCAATGAGGCCTCGGAGAGTGGTGATGGGAGCCGGCGGCCAAGCTGCGGTGAAAGGGAGCAAGTCTCGGGATTGCTGGCTGTCAGCACTGCCGAGGGAAAAGGCTGCCCAGCCAGGTAGGTTAGGAGCCTTGCAGGAGCCCGAGTTTTCCAAGAGGCGAGGGGATAAAGGCCAGGAAGCCGAAATGCGAAGGAGGGAGACGGCAGACATGAAGTCTGTGCCGAGGTACGAGGGCTGGGGGCTGATAAGCCCGCCATTTGAGAGGGCAGTGGGGGGGACAGATTCACTTGAGGCAGCGGGCAGGAGGGGAACTTGAGAAGCGGTCAGGATATTTCTGATCATCACTGGGAATTCCCGGGAGCTCGTAACGGCGGGGATGGGAGAGGCGTGAGTGTGAAATTTGGGTCAAGTGAAGGACGGGACTGGGTGCGGGGGAGTCGCAGTCCTTGCTAGTGATGGAAGAGGGATTTGAGCTTTCCGTGGAGTCCCGCATAAGTGCTTACTGAGGGTGTGCTGGAAAATCGGATCCTGTGCTGCATTCTGAAACCACAGAGCGCTCAGAATGAAGAGCAACTCCACGTCTGGATGGTGCTGCAAGCTCACCTACTGTACCGGCAGCCTGGGGGGCGCGCGTTACCACGACGAACTCTGTGACTCGCTGGAGGTCCTGAGAAGCGTCCGGGCCGGATCAGAGCCCCACTGCGGGCGGCCTTCTGAGCGCACGCTGAACGCGGTGACTGCAGGGTTGCTTCAGAACCAAACCCAATGGGGCGCCTGGGTGGCTCCGTTGGTTGAGCGACTGCCTTGGGCTCAGGTCATGATCCTGGAGTCCCGGGATCCAGTCCCGCATCGGGCTCCCTGCTCGGCGGGGAGCCTGCTTCTCCCTCTGACCCTCCCCCCTCTCATGCTCTATCTCATTCTCTCTCAAATAAATAAATAAAATCTTAAAAAAAAAAAAAGAACCAAACCCAACACAGGGCCTTCCCGAAGCCCGTTCTTTCCGCACCTGGCCGTGCCCCGCTCTGCTTGGCTTCCGGTGCTCGGGAGTCTGCGGGTCTCCGCAGCAGGTGCCCACGCCGGCCCTCCTCGCTGACGGACTTCGCGGCTCGCAGCAGCGGGCAGCTCGGACACGCAGGCCCCCGAGGCCGGGCGAGCGCGACGGCGCTCACTGCTGCGGGCTTTCGGGCGGCGCACGGACCCCCGCGTCGCCCGGCTGCGGGCCGGACTCGGGGTGACACGCGGTCGTCCGGTCCCGGCTGGCTCCCCAGCCCCTTCAGCGCGCCGGGCCGGCCAGGCCGCGCACCCGCCCTCCGCGGCTCCCGCGCCCGCAAACCCGCGCGGCGCCCCCCGCGTGACGTCACGGGCACGCCCCCGGCGCCCCGCCTCTGGCCCCTGCGGAAGGACCCACGTTCCCCGCGGGGCACCGACGGGGGCGCTCCAGCACGTGCGCCTCAGTGCGCGCACGAGGAGGCAGCCTTGAAGGCCTGTCCAGCGTCATCTCGTTTGCTCTTTCCCCCTAATGTGTGCAGGGTTGTGTGGAGCGCAACGTGAGGCTCACCTCGGGGCACTTCGAGACGTCACCCCCTAGAAGGAGAATGGTTGTGTCCGGGTGACGTCAGGCTCTGGGCGGGGCCGGGCCGCTCCAAGGAGCCCCGTAGGGGAGCGTCCTTCGGGCGGAGCCACGCCTTCCGTCGGCGTCCCGCCTGCCGTCGGCGTGCGGCGGCAGGGGGCGTGTCCGCGGGCGGCCCTGTCTGCGGCTGCGCGGGCGCTGACCCGGGTCCCAGCCCCGGAGACCTCCTGGACGGCGGCGGGGAGGTGGCCGCATGGCTCCGCAGGGAGACGTCCCGCGCCTGGTGCTGCTGGTCAGCGGGAAGAGGAAGTCCGGGAAGGACTTCGTGGCCGAGGCGCTGCGGAGCAGGTCTCCGCGGGGCGGGGCGGAGGGGCGCCAGGTGGCGCGAGGGCTGGGCTCGGGGTGGTGTCCGCGGGCGTCCCGGACCAGGTGACAGCTGCGGAGGCGGCCGCCGGGTGGCCGGGCTTCTTGGAGCCTGCAGGGCGGGAGCCCATCAGACCCCAGGACCCCTTCGTTAGGCGCCGGGTTGGGGTACTAGGCAGTAGTAGAGGTCACAGAGGGATCCCCGGATCCAGGACTCAGATCATGCTTTCGTCTGGCTCCCAGGGGTGCGTCCCCTCTGCTCTAGCTCCTGGCCTCAGTGTTCTGTGTCAGCGAGGTGCTGTGGGTGGGAACAGTTCTGCTGAGGGGGCTGGACGAGGTCGTGGGGGGCCCGGGCAGAGGTCGTCTCGGGCTCCCGCCAGGGACCCACCCCCTTTCCCTTAGCTGCATTTCTCCTTGCACCCCACACAGGAGTCAAATAGTGGCCGGAAGCACACTCTGTGCAGTTGCACCCCTGGGGTTCGCAGCCTGACTCCCCACCTGCTCGTTTGTGATCTTGCAGGTTACCCATCGTCTTCTCATTTTTGTCATCTGTGAAATGGGGATCATACTAGGCTGCTTGTAAGGATTACAGGAGTAATGCATGTGAAGAGCTTAGAACAGTTGTTGGGTCTAGCAAAGACAGCGAAATGGTGGCTGTTAATTTGCATATTCACGTATTGGCGTCAGTACTCTTCAGTACTCCGCAGTGTTGCTTTGGGTGGGTCAGTTTTCACCCTCAGGTTCCTCCTCTGAACGGTGGACATAAGGGCGCCCGTCTTACTGGGTCAGTGTTGGAGAGAGTCTGTGTCAAGGGCAGGAGCTGTGTGTTACCCGGATCAAAATACAGCGCCCCACGGATGGCTGATGGAGTACACTGAACAAGGGAATGAATGAGTGATTTAGGTTGTGGTGACCACATCCGTGGAGACCGAGATACCCTGGCTGTGGGAGAACCAGCGGAAACCTCATCCAGGGAACATTGCCAGTGTCATCCTAACTTGTCTGACTTGTTAGTTTCAGGACTGTTGCACATTCCTGTTTCCTAATAATCCTGTAGGAGACAGAACAGAAAGTGCTATCCCCACTGTATGGGTGAGGAGTTAGGGTCAGGGAGGAGGAGATGTGACAAAGTTACAGAGATAGAGTAGCAGAAATGCGACTCTGGTTGGCTCAGTCAGGAGCGCATGTGACTCTGACTCTTTTTTTTTTTTTTTTAAAGATTTATTTATTTGCGAGAGAGAGAATGAGAGACAGAGAGCATGAGAGGGAGGAGGGTCAGAGGGAGAAACAGACTCCCCGCCGAGCAGGGAGCCCGATGCGGGACTCGATCCCGGGACTCCAGGATCATGACCTGAGCCGAAGGCAGTCGCTTAACCAACTGAGCCACCCAGGCACCCCGTGACTCTGACTCTTGATCTCAGGGTCATGAGTTCAAGCTCCATGGAGTCTACCGAAAAAAAACAAAAAGGAGGAAGGAGAAAGGAGAGGGGACCTCAATGCCCTGGACTGGTCAGGGGGCTGGAAACTAGGTTAACTGGGTCTGGCTCTCCCTGTCCTGCAGACTCGGCGCGGATCTGTGTGCCGTCCTCCGGCTCTCCAGTCCACTCAAGGAACGGTACGCTCAGGTAGGTCGTGGCTCTGTGGCATCTGGGGGTCGGAAGGAGCCAGCGCATGGGCCTCGGCTGCCGTGCTGGTTATCACGAGCAGGGTCCCTACAACCACTGTCGGCAGGGTGGTGGACAGCGCTCGATTTTTTGTGGCTTGACCGTTTGGGGGCATTTTCACCTTAAGCTTCCGGCCACCTCCCCAGAGTGTGTTCAGGAAAGCGTGTCCAGTAGGGGCCGGAGAAGTGAGTTGCCAGCTCTGAGGCTGGGTTATTAGTGAGGGTCTGGAATTCCTCTCTTAGACATTGAATCACCTGGGGCGTCAAGCAAGATGTAAAACCGGGCACAGAGAGCGCTGCATTTGTATAAAAATGGAGAAAAATCGTAAATATATTTGCTTCTATTTTCAGCCGTGTAACAGGTATTTATGGGGTGCTGGATCTGAGGAGCCAGGGCAGGATATGTAGAGGACTGTGTTGTTGGCTGCCTCCAGCAAGGGGGACAGTGGCGGAGAGAGATCTTTCACTGTAAACAAATCTGTATCTTGTGAATTTTGAACCATGTGGATTAAAAAAAAAAGAGGGTCATAAAAAAATAAACGGGACCTCTTAGAGCCTTGGCAAAGCCTTGGTTCAGACAGGGAGCCCTGAGGGTGAGACCAGCTTCCCAGACTGTGAGGAGCATTCGTTGCTTACATTTCTGCCCTTGACTTCTGGGTGCTTCCGTCCAGGGACCTGTGCTCACAGCCCCCTGGTCAGGTGGCCTGAGTCTGGCCTTCTGGGGCCACGCAAAATGAATGTCTTCCTTTTTCCATGCATCAGTCCCCTATCCATGGGCAGTATCCTCCTGTACCATTTGATCTTCTCCCACCAGCTAAACAGACCCATTTGTAGGATGGCAGCCTGGGGGACGGGTCCTGGGGAGAACAGGTGCAGGGGTTTTACAGCTTTTTTAGTGGGAACCTTTTCCAAATGAAGTTGGATGAAGAAGTTCCTTGTATCCAGCAGACAGACCAGGAGGGATTCTGATGGGGGGGGAGGGGGAGGAGGGCAGAGGGTGGAGGAGATGGGGCTCAGCCTACCCACTGGGACCTGGGCACTTCGGAGAACCCCAGGGCTCCAAGGAGCAGTTTGAAAACCACTGATCTACTTCCAGAGTTCCCAAATTAGCCCCTGGTCCAGACCTATGAGCCAGGCTGGCATGGGGGTTGGGGTGGGGGTGTGGGCAGGAGTTTTGCATTTTTTTAGAAAGTTTTATTTATTTGAGATAGAGTGAGAGAGAGAGTGAGCACAAGGGGGGTGCCGAGGGAGAGAGAGAAGCAGGCTTCTCGCTGAGCAGGGAGCCTGATGCGGGACCCTGGGATCATGACCTGAGCCGAAGGCAGATGCTTCACCACCCAGGTGCCCCAGGAGTTTGCTTTTTTTTTTTTTTTAAGATTTTATTTATTTGACAGAGAGAGACACAGCGAGAGAGGGAACACAAGCAGGGGGAGTGGGAGAGGGAGAAGCAGGCCTCCCGCGGAGCAGGGAGCCCAATGTGGGGCTCGATCCCAGGACCCTGAGATCATGACCTGAGCCGAAGGCAAACCGCTTAACGACTGAGCCACCCAGGTGCCCCGAGTTTGCATTTTTAAAACCTCAGTAGGTAACCCATAGGCCAGCCTACCCTTACGTCTCCCACTCCCATTAGAAAACAAATCCGAGGCGCCTCTCTGGCTTAGTGGGTGGAGCCTGCGACTCTTGATCTCGGGGTTGTGAGTTCAAGTGCCACGTTGGGTGTGGAGCCTACTTAAAAAAAAAAAAACACACAAACACAACAAAAACCACCCAGAATGAATGTTAGTGCATTGTTTTTTTAAGTCACAAAGGGAACTATAATTGAAAAGCAGAACGGAAGGCTTCTGGTGGCTGCTGTTCCCGTGCTCAAGAGTACACGGGGAGTGAGTCACCAACAGGAGGTGGCTGCTGGCCTCACCTTGGAGCAGGGCACAGGAAGGTGACTGACCTGCGGGGCCGCGGCCCTTCAGTTTGCAGACGAAGAAACTGAGTCCGTCCGAGAAGGTCTGCAGTGAGTTAGCAGAGGAGCTGGAAGCTGCCCTGAGTGACAAGTTTCAGACCCCTTCCTGCCCCGGAGGCCCCTGGGAGGACCCCTCCTGTCCCCCGTGTCCCTGGGGAAGCGAAGGCGAGCCAGGATGGTCCGAGCGGCCCCTCCTGCTCCGGGAGTGCCTGGAGCCAGATGGAGGAGCTGGGAACTTGGGGGTGGGGGGGAGGAGGGAGACCGGGAAGCCTGGGGCAGACAGTGCCGGAGGGGCTGGGGAGGTCGTGGCATGCGCTGTTTTCAAGTTTCTCCCTTTGGTTGAAGGCTAAGCCTGTGCCCAAGGGATGCAGACTAATTTCAGGATTAGTGTAAGCCAGAAATAATTGTGGAGGTAAGCTGTTGCAAAAGAGAAAAAGCACATCATGCATTTTAAAGACACACCGAAACAATTTCTGGATTACCCCGGGCTTTTCTTCCTTCTGCTGCTGTTTGGGATTTCTTCATTTCTAGCGCCCTCCGAGTCTAGGTGGCAGCCTCCTCGTCCTTGCACCGTCCCCGCAGGGGTGGTGGGGTGGTGGGGTGGGGGCGGGGGGGGACGGCCTTTCCCCTGTTTCAGGAGAGACCGGTGAGGTGGAGGCTGCTATGCGGGCCCTGTGCTTTGGGCAGGAGCACGGCCTGGACTTCCAGAGACTCCTGGGCGCCAGCGTTTACAAGGAGGCCTATCGGAGGGACATGATCCGCTGGGGGGAGGAGAAGCGCCAGGCCGACCCAGGCTTCTTCTGCAGGAAGGTCGTGGAGGGCGTCTCTCAGCCCGTCTGGGTGAGTGGGCTCGGGGGCGGCCTTTGGACACTCGCCTTCTCCATCCGTGTCTTCACTGGCTTCCCCTCCTGCGGAGTGTCACCAACAGTCTTAGCTCCTGCCCTGGCTTCTGTCCTCGTCCCCTACAGCCCCCTCACCACCCAGCAGCCAGAATGGCCGCTTAGGAACAATCCAAGACAGGTCACTGCTCTGTTGAGAACCTTTGTCTGTCGTTCTGTTGAACCACCTTGAAATCGTAACGCTACTTCTAGGCCTTGAATGATCGGGTCCTGCTGCCCGGTTAGCCTCCCTACTCCTTACACTGTGGCTGCATCGGCCTTCTCTCTGTTCCTTAAGTCAAGCTCCTTCTGGAGTCAGGGCCTTCGTGGGTGTTCTGCCTGTTGGAGAAGCCCCTTCTTTGCCTCTTCACTGGGTTCACTCTAGCCCAACTGCCATGCCGCCTCCACCAGGAAGCCTTCCCTGATACCCAAGCCTTAAGTGATGCCTCCTGTCCGGTGCTCCCATAGCAAGCACCTCACCCCTTTCTGACCTCGTTCTGGCAGCCGGGATTCTCTCCGTGTACCTGGCCCGGCTCCCGAAGATCTGGGGGGTACATCAATGCAAACATAAAATGAAGTACCTGCTCTCTGGGCACTTACATTATGACACGGGCTGGAGGGGGTTAGGCCCCCAACCAACATAGAATGCCTCAGGTGGGGATAAATCCTAAGGAGCAAAACTGAGCAGGCCAGGGCTCTGAGGAGGCTTTCCCTGACCTGGCATTGAGCAGGGCCTGCAGGAGGCCAGGGACTCGGCCAAGTGGGTATTCGGCGGGGCCGGGGGCGGGGGGCGGGCAAGTGGCAGGAGGTGAGGCTGACTCGCAGGTGCCTTGGAAGAGTGGGGCTGGGGTTCCCGAGCCACCCGAGGAGGAGAGGCGTGGCTTCTGCGAGGGCCAGGAGAGGAAGTGGAGGCCAGGGCGCGGGTCTTTCCGCACGTGCTCAGACGGTGCTCGGCTGCGGGGACGAGGCGGGCTCCACGCTGGCTGCAGGGGGTGGTGGAGTTCGGTGTCGCTGGTGCTGAGCTGGTGACGCTCGCTGCCGAGCACCGAGTGCACTGCTGGGCCGGAAGCTGCCCGGTTGGCGCCTGGGCTCCGAGGGCGTGAGCACCGGGTCTGCGCTGCTCCCCGCACCGGCCGAGCGCCCGCGCACAGCTGTTCACTGGGACACGAGTGTGGAAGTTGCGGAGTGGATGTGTGAGCGTCACCAACAGCCGCCGGCCTCTTCATTCGCTGGTCCGCGGACTCCGGGAGGGCGGCCACCCACCACGAACAACCTAATAGATGGTGACGATTTCAGGGTCCTTACTGCTTAGAGGAAGGTGCACGGCGTGTCTGGCCTGGGGCAGGGGGGGCAGGAAGGGAGCCAGGGTGGTAGGAAGCCTCCCGTACGAGGGACACTGGGGCAGAGATGTCGCCCGTGAGGGAGCCTGGCCTGCACTTGTCCGGGCAGAGGGGGCCGCGTGCGTCCCCGAGGAGGACGTGGTTGGCGTGTCTGGGGACAGGAGACCAGCTGGTGCGGTGGAGGGAATGCGGGAACATGATGGAAGTAGGTGCCAGATCGTGTAGGGCCTTGAAGCTGGGCATAGGCTTTGGATTTTCTTAGAATGATGGGAGGCCTCTGAGAAGTTTAGGGCAGTGACCTGACAAAATCAGACTTCGGTTTTAGAAAGCACTAGGGAGCAGGGCCCAGTTAGAGCATCTTTGTTTCTGGCCTCAGTCTGTTCATCTGTAAAACAAGTGTGTTGGACCCGCTGATCCGACCTCCAAGCCTGAGGCCTCTCCTTCAGCTCAGCAGTGGCCCCAGAACGTGGCGTGTCCACGGCGGAGCCATGTGGGCAGCACAGGCTGCGGCGACCGGGAGGGCGGCCTGCATGGGGGGCAGTGGGTGACCACGGGGGAAGGGCGACATCTGTCTGGGCTCGCGAGCCCCTCCCAACCCTGTGCACCTGCTTGTGTGGAGGCGGCCCGGGTCTCCCACCGCTCCCAGGGCCCTGTGCCTCTGCCCTGTGTCCTGCTGGTCACCTGCCTGCGCTCTTCCCGCAGCTGGTGAGTGACACTCGGAGGGCGTCAGACATCCAGTGGTTTCGGGAGGCCTACGGGGCTGTGACACAGACGGTGCGTGTGGTGGCTTTGGAGCAGAGCCGACAGCAGCGGGGCTGGGTGTTTACTGCAGGTGAGCCGTGTGCAGCGTTTGTCCCCGGCCCCCCGGCCCCCCGGCCCCGCGCTCCGGTCTGCTCTCTTCCTGGCAGGCTGTGGGGGGCTGAGTGAGGGACTACAGAAGGGGAACTGGGGCCTGGGGCTCAGGACTGACCCCAGATTAGAGACTGGAGCGGGGTGGGGGAGGGTGTCCCCATGACCTTGGCCTGGTGCCCCTGTTGGGCGGTCCTCTCTAGGCCAGTGGGACCCGCCGCTGGGTCCTTCACCTCTGCTTTCCAGGTGTTTGATGAACAGCGTGTCTGTCGGGGGGCAGGCCTGGGCCCTGCCCTGTGGCTCCTCTCGTGCCCGAGGTCCTGGGACCCAGCGGGCGCCCCTCCATACTGCTGCCATGCCCTGGGTGTCCACCACGGCCGGGCCTTTGCTGGCGCTTTTCGCACGATCACACTCTACAGTGTGTAAACCTGCCCGGCAGACGCCTCCCCAGACGACTGAATCGGAGGCTTCACGTGATGAAAGCCTCCTGCCCTGCTGGGTCGTCTGTGGTTTCAGAAGACCCATCTGCCCTCCGTGGCCAGTGGCCAGTGGCCAGTGCAGGGCAAAGTCCATGGACACTCTGGGGGCCTCCGCTGGTGGTGGGGTGGGTGCGGGTGGCTCTCCGGTGGCAGAGGGGAGGCCAGGAGGGGCGACTCCGTCTGGGCCAGCAGGCCTCCACACCCGGCGTCCGCCCGCATGGCTGGGGCCCGACCTCACCATGCCTCTTGCACAGGGGTGGACGACGCTGAGTCAGAATGCGGCCTAGACAACTTTGGGGCCTTCGACTGGGTCATTGAGAACCACGGGGACGAGCGGCAACTGGAGGAACAGCTGGAGGACCTGGTGGCATTTGTCCACTCCAGACTCTAGCGCCAGGTCCCAGGAGCACCGGCCGCCTCGCCTCTGCTGGACGTGTGGTCCCGACGCTGGCTGAGGCGGGGAGCACACAGAGGGCCTAGGTTTCTGGGGGTCGGCAGATGGCAGACAAGTCAGGACGCCCCTGGGGGCCTCGTTTCTTTGTGCAGAGACCGCCCTACCGCTTCAGGAGGAGACGGAAGGGCAGGGGGCGTCCGCGGTGCTGGTCCGTCAGCCTGCGCAGCCCGGCTTCCCTGTGTGGACGCCCTCAGCCCAGGGCTCCCCAGCGTGGGTACTAATAAATCGTCTCAGAGCACACGCTCAGCTGGACGTCTCTCATTGCCTGGACGCCAGCACAGCTGGTGTGGGGTCCGAAGGGCCGGGGGCTGCCCTGGTGGCTGTGGGCCCTGCTCTGTCTCCCTCCTGGGCTGCCACGTCCTGCAGAGGCTGGTTTGCGCCACGCGGGAAGAGGGCCTGTTTGCGTGGGGGGCAGGATTGGGGTCTGAGGTTCTCATCTTCTGGGATGGCCCCATGAGAGGCTCCAGGTGCCACAGAAAGTCCCACCGGCAATTACCCAGGGGGACGGAGATCCACGGGCTCCTCATAACCGCTGTGTGGCCCTGGGTAGGTCACATCAGCACGTCGAGCCTCAGCGTGCCCACATGGGGTTTTGGACTTGACCTGTTTCATTTCATTTCATTTCATTTTATTATTTTAAAAAGATTTTATTTACTTATTTGAGAGAGTGAGCGAAAGAGAGAGGGAACAAGCAGGGGGAGCAGCAGAGGGAGAGGGAGAAGCAGGCTTCCTGTTGAGCAGGGAGCCTGATGCAGGACTCGATCCCAGGACGCTGGGATCACGACCTGAGCCGAAGGCAGACGCTTAACCACTGAGCCACCCAGGCGCCCCTTCACCTGCTATTATTATTTTTAAAGATTTTATTTATTTATTTGACAGAGAGAGACACAGCAAGAGAGGGAACGCAAGCAGGGGGAGCGGGAGAGGGAGAAGCAGGCTTCCCACGGAGCAGGGAGCCCGATGCGGGGCTCGATCCCAGGACCCCGGGATCACGACCTGAGCTGAAGGCAGACACTCAACGACTGAGCCACCCAGGCGCCCCTAAAAGCACTTTTCGGATTAATGAAGAAGAAAAGAATGGCTCAGAGAGGACTGCCTGGGCTTGGAGTGCTGAGGTGTGGGCTCAGCAGCTGCGAGCCGGGTGAGAGTGTAACGACCTGTGTCTTCAGGGTCGCTGTTTGCCGCTCAGACGTGGGGTTCTCCTTCCCACTGAACCGGGAGCAACCCGAGGGCCCCGGGACGGCAGAGCCAGCAAAGGGGCAGCGTGTGTGCCCGGAAGCCCGTGTGTCTCCATCCTCCCTGGCGCATGTCCTCCAGGGTCAGGGATGCAGGTCCCTCCTCGGCCCGGAGGGCGGCCGTCCCTGCCTGCACATGAGATTCAGAGCTCGGGGCGGGTGTGAGCCGAGGGAGGGATCGCTCATGGTTCCTCCTCCCAGCTTGGCGGCGTGGGATCCACACACACTGTGTATGGCGATTGGATGCACGTCTGTGTTGTGAGATCACAAGTAGGGTTAGGTGGCACTCCGTTCACCGCACATCATTGTCGTGCAAGCGTGTCAACCACGTTTTCTTTCTTTTTTTTAAAAGATTTTATTTGAGAGAGTGCGAGAGAGAGAGTGAGCAAGGTGAGGAGCAGAGGGAGAAGGAGACTCCCTACTGAGCAGGGAGCCGGACGTGGGGCTCAATCCCAGCACTCCGGGATCACGACCTGAGCCGAAGGCAGCCACCCAACTGGCTGAGCCACCCAGGTGCCCCTAAACCACGTTTTCTTATCTGTTCATGTCTGTGGACATTTCGCTGTCTCCATGTCTCGGCTGCTGTGAAGGTGGGGGTGCAGCTGTGTCCTCGGTGTAGGGCTTTCCTTTCCTGCAGACACGTGTCCAGCAGTGGGGTTGCTGGGTGATCACCGAGGGATACTTAAGTCTGACATCAAGGAGGCAGGGACGGAGCAGGGAAGGGGAGGTGGGGCTGGCGGGCCTGACACGTCCCCGCCCTGGGAGCGCTGGGCTCCGGGCTCCGGGGAGGTTTGGAAGGCCAGCGGGTCCATCCCTGCCTTTGACAGGCTGGCACTGATGCCTCCTAGAACGGGAGGCCCCAGTAGCTAAGCAGCCACTTCTGGATTTGAAGTTCCTCTGTACTTAAAAAAATTTGGTATTTGTCTAAATATCAAAATCAAGAATAAACCCAACTTTCAATTCTCTCTCTGATGATGAGAGCTTTAGCTGCTTTTATTTCTAGGCATCCTCCCCATCTGCTGGTCTTTGCTGACTTTGTGGTTACGGAATCACGGTGCTGCTGTGAAGTTTTTATGTCACATGCTTATTATTTTAACAATGATTGGGCGCCTGGGTGGCTCAGTTGGTTAGGCAACTGCCTTCGGCTCAGGTCATGATCCTGGAGTCCCGGGATCGAGTCCCGCGTCGGGCTCCCTGCTCGGCAGGGAGTCTGCTTCTCCCTCTGCCCTTCCCCCCTCTCATGCTCTCTCTCTCTAATAAATAAATAAATAAATCTTAACAATGATTTGTAGCAGTAACATTCTCTTAAACGTTTATTCTGTTCCATTCCTAAGCAGCTTTATCGAGATAATTGGTATGTAGTAACTGTGCATAATTAAAGTGTACAGTCTGATAATTTTTGACCTCTGTATACACCAACAACAGTTGCCACGGTCATGGCGGACCCAGAGCCGTCACCTTTGTCCCCAGGCCACCACTGATCTGCTTTCTGTCTCGATAGATCAGTTTGCCTTTTCAGTAATTGAACATCAAGGACTCATACACTATAGGGGCGCCTGGGTGGCTCAGTTGTTGAGCGTCTGCCTTCGGCTCAGGTCATGATCCCAGGGTCCTGGGATCGAGCCCCACGTCGGGCTCCCTGCTCGGCAGGAAGCCTGCTTCTCCCTCTCCCACTCCCCCTGCTTGTGTTCCTTCTCTCGCTGTATCTCTCTGTCAAATAAATAAAGTCTTAAAAAAAAAAAGGAATCATATAGTATATATCTTTTTTTTGGTCTCATTTCTTTCACTGAGCATAGTTATTTTGAGATCCATCCACATTATTGCAGGTTTCAGTAGTTTATTCTCTCTTGTTGCCGGTTCGTGGTATGAATATCCTGCAGCTGATCTGTTCACCTGTCGATGAACATGTGGGTTGTTTCCCGTGTTCGGACGTGACCAATAAAGCAACTGTGAACGTTCATGTGCAGATTTTTGCGTGGACATGTGCTTTCGTTTCTGTGGGGTACGCACTTGTTTACGAAGTGGTCCCCAGGCACTGTGCCATGTGGCCGCCAGGGCCGAGCACGACCGGTTCCTCCCCATCCTCACCGACACTTGGTACGCTCAGTCGGATTGTAGCCATTCTGGTGGTGGTAACTATGGCATTTTATTTGCAGTCCCCTGATTAGTCTGACACAAACCCCACATTCAGTTTTGATCAAATCGAGCAGGGAACAGAGTGGGACATCCTCTGCCGGACAGAGCACATCTACAGAACCCCAGCGGCAGAGGGCCTGCTTGTGGTGCAGGACCGCGTGCCCCCTGCGGCCAAGGGGGAGGCCAGGGCGCCCACCTCAGGGTGCCGTAGGAAGAGGAAATAAGAGGCATCCGGATCGGGAGGGGAGAAGAAAAAACCACCTCTGTCCATAGAGGGTCATCTGTGTAGGGTCTCCAGGAAAGCTACCTGAGCCGATAGGTGAGTTCAGCAAGATTGCAGGGTACAAGGCTGCTTTGTAAAAACCAGCTGTATTATCTTTATTAGCAGTGAACAATCAAAAACAGAAATGAATAATGCAATTACAATAGCATAAAAATGTGAAATAGGGGTGAGTCTGATAAAAGACATGCACACGGGAAATGAGCGTTGCTGGGAGATTGAAGACCTACAGGGACAGATGATCCCTGTCGAGAGACAGGACTCAGTGGGGATACTCATTTTTATTGAGGTGTAATTACAGTGAAACGTACTGATCTTTTTAAAGATGATTTTTATCAGGGTGCTTGGGTGGCTCAGGCAGCTAAGCGTCCCGACTCTTTATTTCTGCTCAGGTCGTGATCTCAGGGTCGTGGGATCAAGGGGCTCCATGCTCAGGGTTCTTTCTCTCCCTCTGCCCCTCCCCACCCCTCATGTGCTCTCTTTCTCTCTGTCTTAAACAAAATAAGGATTATTTTTATTGAGGTATACCTGACACTCAGTGTTACATCAGCCCCACGAGTCTGTCGTTACCACAGGACGCTGCCCCTGCCTGCGCCCTGTGCCGTCTATCCCGGGCTCACTCATTCCAGGGCTGGGAGCCTGTGTCCGCCTGCTCCCCCAGGGTCCCCCTTCCCCATGTCCCCCTCCCACCATGGCCCCCTCCCTGCACATCACCACCCCCACTGGACTTCACCCCTCCCCGTCCCCCACCCCACAACCACCAGTTTGTTCCCTGCGTTTGTGGGTCTGTTTCTAACTTTTGTTTTGTTTCTCATAGTCCACATGCGAGGGGACTCACGAAATGTGCTGATCTCAGGTGTCCATTTCCACATGTCCCACTTAGCCCCCGCCCTCCTGGAAGCATAGAACAGTTTCGCCTGTTCTAGAATTTCACGTAAATGGTTAACATCTAGTTTTAAAACATGTTTAGAACAGTAATTTATTTCTAAGATTTAACTGGTTTACCGCTCACTTTGGTCCTTCCATGGTACCTCAGCTTCCCTGCTTTTGAATTTAGTATTTCAGTTCCTCTCCAGATGGTTGATGTGCCTTCAGAGATTTTCTTCACAAAGGGCACGTGGGCGATCTCTCTTCTGAACACGTGAACCACGGCACTGCCCTGAGTTGCCCATGTGCATGGACATCGCCTTGGCTGGTGCGGGATCGTGACCTGGTTCCGCTGTCTGCCACGGTCAGTGTTGCTGGGTCTGAGGCCACCTCGACTTTTGTTCCTTTGAAGTAACCTCCTTTCTCCGTCTAGATGCTTCTGGAAGTTTTTTTCACCTTCATTTCGAAATTCAAGTTCTGGCATTTTCTAAGGCAGAACACAGACGTGTCTCACGAGAGAAACGGTGGTGCTCATTGTTCCCCACAAAGCATGACTGAGTAACGAGCTGGACATCGGGTGGTCGTAGACATCCGCGGCCTGCCGCCAGCAGCAGTCACCTCGGGGGCAGTGCCGCGCAGGCTCCTTGGGGTGTGGCCCCTACCAGGTGTCTAGATGTTCTTTGTGTTGAGGAGCTGGTCTCCAGGATGGTGAATTCTCACCCCTAAAACTGGATTTGGATTTTAGAAAGAGCCAAAGGAAATTTGGTGCTAAATTCTGGTGAGGGGGGCCAGGTGAGGCGTGTACTTTTTGGCGAGAATAAACTGCCTGGAGCGTAACAGCACTAGAGCTTCCTCCAAGCCAGTTCTCGGGATTTTCAAGAGTCGTTCCGTCATCCATGCCTCGGTGCCTTTGCGTGTGCCGTCCTCCGCTGGGAGTGCCCCTCCCGTGGCTCCAGCTTGGACCTGTCACTCCCAGAGGGTCCCCTAGTGTGTGTTCTCGCTGCCCCACCCCCCTGCGAGCCATGCAGGAAATGGTTTTCTGTTTTTTGAATCTGGCTGGCGCTGGCAAGCGTTTGTGGAAATGGAAGAGTTCTAGAAGTGTTGGGAAGCAGTGCACATCCTGAGCTCACTGCCGTGAAGTAGCCAACGTTCAACGTGGCTCTCCAGAAAAACAAAAAAGCCCTGACTTCTAGCGTTGAACCATCCGTATGGAGGAAATGCTCCTGCTATTGCGAATTTCACGCCGCCAACGTGATGCCCACCGAACATTTGCAGATGGGCTCTCGCAGGACGTCCCAGCACGCTACTGTACCAGCACGTGCGTCCCTGGCTTTCCCGCCACAGGGGCCCCGGGCTTTCTGTGCAGCGCGGTCCACGGGCGGTGATGTGTTCCCTGCACCTCTCGGGCCGTCCTCCTCATTCCAAGCAAGTGGGAGGAGGTCCAGACCCAGGGGCTTCTCCGAGGTGGCAGAGTTCATTCTGTCTGGAGCTCGCTGCACCACCACCCCGCCCCACCAAGGGGCCAGACAGGGCTGAGCTCCCCCAGTCTTCCCTTCACTGGTGTGGAGGTGAGGCTGCCTGCAAGGACCTGAGGACTCTGTGCTTCGCCCAGGACATCCCTGCGGGCAGCCAAGCTGTGACCAGTGCTGGCCTTTGTTGTGTTGGCTTGTGACCTGATGAACAGGTGACAGGGAGCTGAGCCCCCTTGGCTGTAGGAGAGCTGCGGCTGCCGCTTGCGTGGCCCAGTCCAGGACCTGGGGGGGCCCTGTTGTCTGACAGCCACATGAGACCAGGAGCCCCTCTGTCCATCTTAGGGCTTTAACCTTTTTCTTCCAGGTGGGTCCAGAGCGCATCCAGGCGGAGTTCCTCGGGAGCGCAGGCTGAGGGCCGCGAGGGCCCCAGGAGGTGACAGGCGGGCCTGCTGCCTGCGCCTTGTTTGCCTTTGTCCTAAACGGCCTCAGCTGCTTATGGTAGGTCTGTGCCAGGGACTGTGCGGTTTCTGAGGGGCCACCGAGATGTGTGATGTGAAAACTCACCAAGACCACATCCCGGGGCTCCCGAGTCACCACCCGGGCCTTCGAGTCCCCGAGGGAGCCTGAGACCAGTGCCCTTTACCCGAGGGTGGCAGAGAAGGTCTGGCTTGAACCTGGGGAGCTAGGCCTGGGTCCCTGCTTTCTCAGTTTTCCCAGACTCCCCTGAGGAGGTCCTGTGTAGGTGAATCAAGCTGTACCAGGGCAAGGGGGCCATGGGGCCACCTCCCGGAGGGGAACACTCCTGGCGTGCTGGGGACAAGGAGCAGAGATGGGGTACGTCGGGGCTGTTCCTCGGGCTGGGGCTCGGGAGGCGGAGGGCCCTGCCCTGCGCTAGGCTGCTGTCCATCTGGACACTGAGGGTGCCTGCCGAGTGGAGACATTCCCAGCAATGTCCCTCTGTTGTGACATCCAGACCTGAGCCGGCGGCACGTGGGTCCCTCGGGCTCCTGCTGCCACGGCTGGCTGGTCCCAGAGAGGACTGCAGGCCGGGGCCGGGCACCGTGCCCGCGGCTCCGGAATGTGCCAGGAACTGTGGGGCCAGGCCTGCTGAGCCAGAGACACGGCGGCAGGACGGGCAGGGAGCCGCCCACAGCCGTCTCACCGCCAGCACCACGTGGGGGGCTCAGACCCCGTGGGCATCGCGCTTTACTGTTTACTACGGGTGCTTACGGGTGATTTAATTTCACTTTTGCGGTAACACTTTTCTTGTTCCATTTTAAAGCTGAAGACACGGGGGACACAGAAAGGTGAGGGGACTCCGGGCAGTGCATCTGCGGGAGCTTGCACAAGTCAGGCCCCTCTGAGCTTCGGCCTTGTCCCGCAGACGAGCGGGGAGGGCGGTGGGGGGGGGGTCCTGCTCCTCAGGTGCTCACCCTGCGGGAGCGCCGGCCCCAGACCGTGCAGCCGGAACCTGGGTTGGGCTGGAATTGAGCTTCTATTCCAATTTTAGTGTTTTCCCTCCACCTAGCCTGTGGGTATATGTGGAGCATTTTTGGAAAATGAGTTCTTATTAAGAAGTAAAGGGAAACCCAGAAATATAGCTATAGAGATGGGTGTGAGCACAGGGTAGGGGGCTGGTGCCGGGCCTGTGATGCTGAGCCTCTGGCGGGCTGGCCTGGCTCACCACACCGGTCCCCTCTCAGCTCGTCTGGCTGGCCTAGACTTTCACAGCCCCCCTCCCAGCAGGTCTCCTGCCACCTGCTCTGGGACTGGGTCCTGAGCACGACCCCCTGATGGATCTTCCAAGCCTGCCTTGAGCTAGGAGGGTACATCATTCAGAGCCAGCCCTGGAGCAGGCTCAGCTGCACCCTTTGGCGGCCCTGGGCCCAGAGCGCTTCTCCGCGCATTTTGGGACTCGAACGAACCCCTTCCCACCATAGCATGCCTATTGTGTTCTAATGACCGGTGAGCCTGGGAGGTCCATGCTCCACACGCGCTGGACATGCAGGCTCGAGGCAGGTGCACATCACGGCTTGGCCATCCCCTGTTTCCTGCTGTCAGTCAGTTTCCACAGGCCTCACCTTCATGACGTCGGTGGGGTTGAACCCGACCAGCTCAGCAAGCAGTAGTCCATTACATGAGCTCCCGCCAAGCTGAAGCCCGTTCCACGCTCTTCCCTGTGTGTTCTTCATGGTCTCTGGCG